TACGTATATATATATATATATACTATATATATATATATATATATATATTATATATATATATATATATATATATATAATGATTTAGTTAAAATTATTATTTATATTATTTTAGTTAAACATTTTTTAACGGATTATCTTGATAAATAGGCTTTTAAATTACGAAATATGTGTATTTATTCACAGGTACCATTGGCCATCTTCAAACGAGAGAAAGAGATCGCACGACGAGTAGAATTCGATGGACTGTACATAGCTGAGACGCCAGAAGAGGATGATATTAAAGCGCACTGGGACAAAATGGTGATATCGGCAAAGACATTCCCCGTGAATTACTGGGACAAGTTTGTCAAAAAAAAGGTTCGACAAAAATACAGCGAGACGTACGATTTCGATTATATCAGCAATTTGCTTGGAATGGAAAAGACTTCTTTCAGTCAACAAGAAGAGGAAGGATCTGGCTTGATACATTTGTGAGTAAACGACATCTAATATCTTGCCAGTATCTTATGTATTTTAGAAAAATTTTATATAAAAATAAATTTTTTCCAGCATCATAAATATCGATTGGAGATACCAAATTTGGAAGGCCGGTGTCACCATCACAGATAACGTAAGTGCTTGCAAATTTGCCAAGATTAATTAACGTATAAAATTATTCATATTAAACATTTACATATAATCTATAATATATAATTATACATTTATATATAATCATATCGTTTTATTTTTAGGCATTTCTATATAGTTTATGGTACTTTACATTTTCGATCCTCGGCAACTACAACAATTTCTTCTTCGCCGCTCATTTGCTAGACGTTGCAGTTGGTTTCAAAACTTTAAGAACAATTTTGCAATCGGTAACGCACAACGGCAAGCAACTGGTCTTGACAGTGATGTTACTAACAATCGTGGTTTACATCTACACCGTGATAGCTTTCAACTTCTTTAGAAAATTCTATATACAAGAAGAGGATGATGAAGTGTCGGATAAAAAGTGTCACCACATGCTAACGGTATGCTCTGAATAAAAGATTTTTATACATTGTGTCATCATTTTTACATAATCTCATAAAGCACAAGATAGCCAACGTTATCGTGTATCTTGAAAATAAATATTTAATTATAGAACATTTATCTTTTTATCCGCATGCTTTAGACTTTAATCGTTTATTTCAATTTTACTTGAAAGAGTTTGCAATTCCAAGTTGTTGATACATTTTTTTCTTTCTTTGGCAGTGCTTTGTGTTTCATCTATACAAAGGTGTAAGGGCTGGCGGTGGCATAGGTGACGAGATCGGTGAACCTGATGGCGACGATTACGAGGTTTATCGTATAATGTTCGACATTACGTTTTTCTTCTTCGTAATCGTCATTTTGTTGGCCATTATTCAAGGTAAGTACACTTAATTGATTTCTCGTTTTGCAGCGGAAAGAGAATACAATTTAATATTGCGGTTGATCCTTAGGTTTAATCATCGACGCGTTTGGTGAGCTTCGAGACCAGCTCGAAAGCGTAAAGACAAATATGGAGAGTAACTGCTTCATATGCGGCTTAGGAAAAGAATATTTCGATGCGGTACCACATGGGTTTGATACTCACGTTCAGCAGGAGCATAATTTAGCAAATTACATGTAAATATCGACAAATATTCTACATTTTTAATTCTAGAATTATACGTTAGAAGGATACTTTGAATAATTAATTTTTATATGATTCTCTGTTGACAGGTTCTTCCTTATGCACCTGATCAACAAACCGGATACGGAGTACACTGGTCAGGAAACTTATGTATGGAATATGTATCAACAGAGATGTTGGGACTTTTTCCCAGTGGGCGATTGCTTCCGCAAACAGAACGAGACGGTGGAAGAGGAGGGCAAGAAAAAATAAAATTAACACTGACGAAATAAAATTAGTTAATGACCAAACGATCGACCAATTCGATCTTATTTTGACGAAGAGGATTTCTCTCCTCGAGCAACGTCTTCGATAATTCTTAGCATCAATTTTTGCTCATTGCGGACGGGAGTGCAAAGTCAGCGCTCGTTAAAAATCAAACTTCAGAAACCTTAGATACATTTTACCTTATAACGACGAAGAGAGATTTTACCTTGTAAACTTGTCTCTGTTTTCCATTTGACAATTTATCGTTATTCCGACTAACTAATAGATTGAGTCTCTGACGTGTGAATCTAGTGCATTAATTATGTACTGCGTTTAGTGAAAATGTTCGAATACGGGAGAAATATGCGCCTGACGTTGCATCAAGCACGTACGTACGTGTGTCATGCGCGGCCAGAAATTAGTGAAATTAAAAATATTTTTCCAACTTTTTAAGGCTAACTCAACAGTATCACAGAAACCGGGAATTTCCTCTTTATAGATAGATAAACAATCGAAGATTAATAAAAATTTCAACTTCCTTCGACCGACGGTACGTTGTTGTTAAATCAATGAAACGGCGGAACCGACTGCACAAATTTACATATTCATAGCGCTACAATTGCCTTCTTTTCATACGTCGGATGATCTATATACTTGTGCATAATTCTGCGCTGCATTACAGCGACAATAGGTTTGAGATAAATGATATAGTATAAGCAAGTTAAAGATATTTAAAGTTTATATAATGTGCAAATTTCTGATTGCTATGAGAGTGCGAACTTTTTGGACATTATTTATGGACTGAACTCACGTTATATTCAAGAATGTCAATATATTGTAAATAAAACTCTACGGCAGGACTATCTGGTAATAAATAAAGACATACTTCTTTATTTCGTTGTCGTAATCTTTTCTTGCCCTTATAATTCAAAGTTGAAGTTAATTTTCAAAAATTTTAAAAGTGTGACAAATCACAAATTATTAATATTATCTTGATTTTAATTAATCTACAGATTTCAATAAGAATAATTATCACTATTTTCTTAAAAAATTATATCAATTTTGAATCTGTAATGTTTTATTTTTTCATACTTTTATCGAACCGTAAAAAAATCAATTTTTCCCGCTCGATGCGAAATACTTGGGGCTGGAACCCCATGCGACATTACGACATCGTATCGGCGTAGTATAGTAAAATAGTATTTCCCGTCGCGGTCGTACACCCGAGGGAAACAAAAGAGGAACAATAAGACTAACGGCGGCGCGTCCCTCCGCGCCGTAAGCGGAAGGAGGTCGCGCAAGCGCCCCAGCCCTAGTAGTCGCTCACCGGCGAAGAGTCTTCAGGGTGAAAATGCACCATGGCATGGGTGGATCGGCGAACGATCGTCACGGCGCTCAAAATCAGGCAATGCAGGCCAGGAACGGGGTCTGCGACAAAATCGAAAATTACATATCCGAGCTAGGACAATGGTACGTGAGTAACTGCGGAGAAAACTGCCTTAAGCGGCAGGATCTACTGTGTGTGTTTTCCGCCCTGTGCCGCCCAGTGGAAACAGCGGGGTCGGGCAGCAGGGGGGCAAACAACCCGGGCATGAAAGTGGCAGGTGTTTAGCTATGTTTCTCGCGTGTAATTTCTTGCGATAACGACGTATACTTGTGATCACCATGCACTTTTGCGTTCGTGGAACCTCAGAAATTTTAAATATGGTAACAATTGATAATAATGAATCGATATATAGTAATAGTACAATGCTATAAATATTGGAATGCTGGTATTAGTGCAGTTTTTCCATATATGTGTACGTGAAATTCTATGTATATGAAATTTATAAGATTTTGTTGAAATATGTATAATTTAGTAATCTTAATTCTTTTCTTTTATGTGATATTTTACTCGAATAATTATAGATTAATTAATTTATAAATTTGTTATTATAAGTATTTTTTATTAATTAAATTAATTTATTTCTGTGGTACGAGTTACGTTCTTGTGTGATCCAGTAGAAAGATCTTGGTCTGACTTATGTCTGGCATTACTACTTGTTAAAGTAATCCAATACCAGCTGTGAAATATTAAAAAAAATTCTATTCTACATTTTTTGTAATATAAAATTTTTATATTAAGTTATAATAAAATATATCAACTTTTAAGATATTTAAATTTTTTGAAGCATTAAAAGTACTATATTATGTAATTATATTCTTATAATTGCAATATTAATTATAATATAATATTAAAATATGTATATTCAATATTTTGTGTATTTTCGTAATAAAAATAACAATTATTTAATAAAATACAAAATAGGGCCGTATGGAGGGCAATAATAATGGGCCAATTCCTCTCGTTGGTATTGTGCTTCATGACGCTTGTGAATCATCATATAAATACCGCCTCCTACAAACTCTCGCTTCCAACAGGTAATTTATTTCTTTGAAAATGAATTCTGTATTTATGCAGCGTCAAAATTTAAATTCACAAATCTACAACAATATCAATTCTTGTAAAACTTTACTACTAACTGATTACTATTTTTCGTGAGACAGGGCAAAATCTTCCACACTATGTGATGATGTGCTTAGTCTACACGACATGGATGTCCTGCAGAGGTGTGGGGAATGGCCTATTTTCCGTCATAAGAGCTCGTGGCTGGAGATACTTGTTGTTAGCACTGATCGACGTTGAGGCATGCACGCTTATTACATCGTCGCATCAATTTACCAGTCTTGCTAGTATACAGGTGAACATACAAATAGATATTTTATTATAAAAAATATAAATTATTGTGAAAATAGTGATGCTCGATTGAATAATAAATAATAAATTTTTCTTGTAGCAATAGAATTTTATATTTTAAAAAATCTTTCCTTATAATAAATTATTGATTTAAATAATTCCATATTATACATGCTATTTATTGTAACTAATATTTGTATTTATTTATGCGTTAGAGTATTGTTCATATCCATTACATTTACAATTTTTATGCTTTGTTAAATAATTAATAAAAGCCAGTTTTGCGATTACTTGTGTTTAAAGTTAAATGTCATTCAAGCGCGATTTCAGTCGATGCCATTTACTATACAATTTCTTATTCACGCACGTAACTTTCCTCATCGTTTGCACCTATATTAAACGGGCGTAGTACTCGTGTCACTGTCAATGGCGCAAATATAGATATTATAAATGCACGGCTATAGAAAGGAGGACGTTAGGTCTTCGATCTAACAATGCTCATTGTCCGAGTCATGCATTCTTAATGAAACGCACTTTAAGCTTTTTGTTCCGCGCTCTACATATCGGAGTTTTAACAGACTATTACTATGAAAATTGCAAATATGTAAATTACTGTAAATGATCGAAAAATATATGTTTCAGCTCCTCGACTGCGTGGCAATACCGGTTGCATTGGTACTCTCATTTCTGGTACTGGGTGTCAGATATAGAATGGTGCACATCGTTGGTGTATCCGTCTGCTTAATGGGTGTGGGATGCTTGGTTTGGGCCGGCATAGATGACAATAATGATCCTACGGCTACTAGTAATGATCGATGATAGTAAAATGCATGATAAAAAGAAATAGCGAAAAATTAATATTACTTTGTTACATCAGGAAAAAATCAACTTGTTGGTGATATGCTCTGTCTCGGCGGCGCGGTATTGTTTTCGGTGACAACGGTCCTGCAGGAGCTGGCTGTTAAAACAGTCGACATTATTGAATATCTGGGCATGATCGGTTTCTTTGGCACTATACTGACTTGTATGCAAATGTAAATATGCCGCCGAATATGACTAAAAAGAGGCCTTTAAAAGAATACTTTAAATGAGTGGTGTTTGGTATTTCACTTCGATTGTTTTATTACAGTGCTGTGCTCGAGAGGCTTCAAATAGAAACGTTCCACTGGGACAATGTACCGGTAATAACGATCCTGATTGTTTATTGCATCACGCAATTTATGTTTTTCTCTTTGGTGCCGGTAATATTGTTTGAGTCTGGTGCTACCGCCTTGCAACTGGCATTACTCACTTCGGATTCATTCAATATATTGGCTGGAATGCTCAATCATCACTATAAGGTATCATCATTCAATGTTTACAACGCGATAGATCGTGTTTTCATTCAGCTGTTGTTTTATATTAAGAATTGTATCCGAGATAAATAATTATTTAAGAAATAATTCTCTTTTTTCTTATCCAAAAATTGTGCAACTTTTCTTGCAAAAGTGATATGTTATACATCAATACCAACATTTTTCATTGTTTATTCTAGTTTCACGCATTGTACTTTGTTTCGTACACACTCACGATGACCGGCATATACATATACGCTATAAAGAGAACAGCTATATCGACGAACTCACGGAGGCAACACATTGAACTTCCAGATTACAGGTGAATTTGTGTTAAACATCGTGAAGAAAATTGTTATCATTTTTTTATGTTATTGTGAGCGTGCGTTAAAATGATCTTATTTTTTTTAAGTAAGACACATGTCTCATCCTGACGTCGGCGAAGTGGAGATGGCCACAAGCTCTGGAATGTCCGGCGTAAGCGGCACACTCGACATAAGGGCATCTACTCTCGGCAGCGAGAGAGAGACGATGGACGCGACGAGCCTACCACTGAGCGTCAGCTCCGACACGGCCTTCACCTCCTTCTATGGCAGTCAGGCGAACTTAAAGGTAGCATCGAGATCGATGCCGCGTGTATCCTCCAATTCGTTTCTCGATACGAATGCCGGCGCGGTCACCTCGCTTTGATATCCGTCGAGGACAAACTTGACGCGAGTGCAGGGTTCAGGCGATCTTACAGATGTTCGAGGCAGATGGAATATACGAGAATAATAGATTTTTCGAGATTTCTTTTATCACATCTCTTTCGATAATATAATTTTGTATCATGTCGCAAAACTTTGCAGTTATAACAATAAAGGTCATAAAGGTTGGTAAATTTATTTTCCAAAAATAGTTTTGCAATACGCATAATAACGTGCAAAAAGGCGGTAAAATCAAATGACAAATAAAATTAATAAACTTTTATGTACTATATTATTTATATTTAGTTAGTATATTTCCATTTAGTATAATTTACAGCATGCTGCGTGCAACTGCAATGAATAGATCGTCTGCATGCAACGAAAGAATTTTTTAATTCGCGTGAATTTATCTACCTTTGACGGCATGGTTTTTCTTTTCATATTCCTTTACTTGTACTTGGAAGTGTAAATGAAATCTGTGCCGGTTTCAGGCTGCGAACGGGAACAGCGGTTCTGCCTCTAAGTAATAAGCGGAGGAAAACAACTGTTTAGAATATAATACCGCGTGATAAATTCGTTCAAAATGCACCACTTTTTAAAATGGAGCTTTTAAAAAAGCACGAAAGGATGTTTATATATCGACACGAATAATTCTGAACGTTAGCGCACAGTCTAAAGACTCTAGAAAGATCGTATAAAAATAATCGTATAGAATTATTACTATTATATAATATTAATTGTATGTAATAGTAAAATGATAATTAGGCTGTTTTTCAGTTATTTTCAAATATTAATTCGATAATGTAGTTTTAAATATTTTTAATAAGTAAATATTATATTATGACAAAAAGATTATTTAATTATCGCAATATTCTTAATTATTGTAATAATTTTACTCATTTATATGAAATTTGTAATTACATTGTACATTGTTTATACTATTAATAATTATATTTTATTTTGTTATATTTATAATATAATCATTGGTTCAACTAATTTTATCTTATTTTTTCTTTTGTTCGGGGGCCAGAAGGTTTTCCCAGGGGTGTGAAAATCTTCCAAAGACACCCCTCGGCGTGCAATGCGTGGTCCCGATCAACGCTCTTAGTCGCCTTGGCCCTAATTACGCTGCCGAAGGGTAGTGTTGGATTCACCGTCCCCTGGCTTACTAGCTAGGAGACGGCGCCTACTAACTAAAACCACATCTCTACAGAACACCGCTATACTCTATCGGCGGGCCGGTGTCCCCCTCAAAGGGAGGAACCGTCCGTCCACGGACCCAGGCGTACCCCCAGGATCCGAATCGGAGTCCTGTCCGCTCGGGCTCGTGACTACTGGAGGGGTCGGCAAAATGGATCGCGATAGCCCAGCAGTAGGGCCGCGTCTCCCCCGGCGGGGTTGATGAGGCTAATTTTTCACCTGCCCCGCTTGTTTTTTATGTGAGGAGGACTTTGAGGAGGAGGGCGGGGAGGGCGGCATCTCTCCCAGGGGACTCCGGGAGAAACGGGGCAACCCTCTTCGTCCCTACCTCCCCGAGTCACCCTCTCCACTCTCTTGCCTTCAATAGGACCCTCCTCCTCCGGAGTGACCCTTCCGGGTCTTATTCGAGGCGCACGGTTTAAGGCTGCCCGCCTCCCCCTTGTTTCCTTGCCTCCTTCCCCTCTCCCGTCGGCGGCCTTCTCCGCCGACCCGGAAGAGGGAGAAGGTGTCAGGATGGAAGCAGTTCTTTGCACCCCCGAGAACTGCCTTCTCGCAACACTGGCGGAATTTTCCGCCCTCAGTGCAGTCACCTCAGCCCTGGGAAGGGAAATTTCTCTCTCAAGAGCAGAGATAACCCCCACACAAATCTGGACAATCTCGTCGCCCACCGCCGCCGCCGCGATAATCGGTTCGGTTGAAGTGCTCACGCGATACATCCCGACTGGCCCGACGCTGGATGCCGACGGGGACTCGGCCGGGACAATATCGGGTCCGCGCCAGTTCCTTTAGGGCGGTAACAAATTCTTCCTCGTCGTTATCGTTACCATACAATTGGTTTGTTAACAATGTTTTCCTTTACCGAGTTTGATTTCGGAGTTTTCCTTCTCCAATTGCCTGTCATGGCTAACGACCCCAGTCTGGCCGTCGGCGTGCTCTTAAACCTCATCCCTCGTACAAAACCTTTGGTATTGCCACTGGGGGTGTCTGGGACGGCGAGCCCTCCCATCAACGACAAGATGGCACGTCGCGGAAGGGAATTTTATGTTATTGTAAGCTTAATTTATTAAGCTTTACTCTCAATACGTGAATATGTATACTTATTGATTAATATTATTTATATTAATATTTTATATTAATAATTTATTTTATTAATTAATATCATATTTATTTATCAATTAATTCTATTTTTGCATGTGTTTGATTTAAAAATTGAATTAAACTTGAAAATGGCCACAAAATCAAAATATATGGTAATTTAGAATTCTCCCCAGTGAAAAACATTCCCAGTATTGTTTATATAGGCGTGAACTAATTGTATAAGGACGAAAAAACGTGCCAAATGTCAAAGTCTATTAGCACTTAGATCGTAGATCTAAAGAAATATGAATGCAAACATGTACTCATTTTCACTTGGATTTTTTACATTTACACGAACTATTTTCGTGGACGTTTGTTATAACTATTAAGATCGATATACTATAGTATATACACAGATATTTATAAGTTATAATGATAATAAGAATTAAAAAAAGGAGAAAATTTTAGATAATTTAGCCCGACAAATTAAGTCGACCTAATTGATACGGTCAATATTAAGATGACTACGTATAATACGCTATATTATTCTATTCTTCTATTACATTACGATTTCTAGTTACACAATGAACATTGTCATTACAATGCAAATAATAATTTAAAATTTCTATATTTATTTACATCACTTATCTGTCTTTTTTATAATATTGAACTGTAACAACAATTAAATCTATTTGCAAAAACTTATATTCTCGTCACGATAAATAATCAAATTATGAAGAATTTACGACATAAGGATAGAACCTAAACTCTCAATATAATTCTGATTTTGGTGTTACATAATACCAATTCATATTATCATAAAATGATTCAGTAAATTAATTATATTTACAATACTAATACACAAGTTAAGAATGCCAAAAGATTGGTTGGTAATTTAGCAAGATTTCCAGATGGTTAACTGTTTGCTTGAATTTAACTGAATATATAAAATGTGTTCAATACATTACTGAAAATTTTATGATAAATGAGAAATTAATTAACAATGTTGACTATTATACCAAAGATCTTATTTCTAGCATTATTATTAGCATTATATAGATATATGAAAATAACAATAATCTCGTTTTCACATTATTCGTAAATAATCATAATGTGACACAAACCTACTAATAGACCTATTAGATACGTATGTAATTTGAATACTCTATACATTACATTATTATTAATATCTATAAATGTAATTTTATTTAACGTTAGTATTCATCGTTCAGATTGTTCTTTCAAAAGGTTTTACATTTATAAATTTAGAAATAATTTGTACATATTATTTTGATCGTTCTATAATTAATACAAAACACAGTGTGACATTACACACATTTTTTAATATAATTCGTCAAGATCAAACTGCAAGATTATTAACAAAAAGCTTAATCATTGCTCTTATATTTTCAAAAGAGAATAGGAGTTCAAAGGAATTATAAATCAAAACTTTTATTTATTTATAATATAGGCTCTAATAGATTACAAATAATACTGCAAGAGTTCATTAACAATAAATTTATTATATTCGCTATTGCGTTATTACAAGTTGAAATCATCTATAACTTCTTCTAATGACAAATCATTGTTTTATGTAATAAATGTATATTTCTTTTTAATAAATAAGTTAAAGACTGATTGTAAGAATAACACATTACTGGATCAATTTTATATATAACATTCTATAAAATTATTCGTACTTTAATTGTCACTTTAATCTACTTTCAGGCTAAATTTATTTATTTTTAGACAATTTTATAAATTTTTATCTATTCTAAATTATATATATCGTCTTGCTTTAATCACATTCCTTACGTAATATGAACGTAATATGTTTAACTAATTCCAAGCACCGATTCTACATTAAATTTATTTTTAATAATTATGTCAATTAATATAACTATTAATTTTTTTCCTTTCTGCAATTAGTAACATTGATGGAATTTATTTTTGATGAAAAATTTAATTCAAAATTTTAAATTGAACCACCCAATTACAAAAACAGATATACCATCTAGCGCGAGTCCCGCAAAGAAAAATGTATTTTTGTGAAGCGTTTTGCACTCTAAGACTTGACGTATATCATGCAACGTGACTACGTTTGCATCATTGTCTCGTAAAAATAATTCACATTGTGCTTTGGCGGTCCATTCTCTTCTGGGTAAATCGTCATAACGCGAATGATCCAATGCATATGGATCTTCGATGTTTTCTCGTCTTATATAATCGAGAAGGCATGGTTTTGTTTCCAATAGGTCTTTAGTACTGTTACGAATACACTCGGACCATGTTACTTCTAATGCATTGCCTATAGTTGTAACGGTGCGCGCGATGAAGAGAGGAAAAAAGATACCAATGACGAAAATCAGTTCAGATGTCAGTTAATTCCGAGCACTGATTTAATCTTCTTTTTTTTAGTTCTATGTCAATTAATAACTATTTATTTTTTCTTTCTGCAATTACTAACAGTTATCTGAACTTTGGACGGAATTTGTTTTTCATATCGATAATTCTACGTGTTTTTTCCCGAATAAATTTGCCTTTTACTAACAAAAAGCAAATTTACTGCTTAAAATGAAAAGTAACAATAATAATTCAACGGATCCTAGGTATCATACTAAACAAATTGTAACCAATTTTATAATGACTTATACGCGTTTTGCAATTTTCTCTTAAATCCTTGTCCACACATGTCGAAAAGCTCTTGACAGTTATTCTTCGATTAAGTAGTTTTCCGGCAGACAATAATGCTGACCATCCTTGTTGTGACACCACGTTCCATCTGGAAAGTATGGGTTAATACCTAAGTCGAGCATATCCAAGTGTGGCGAGTAGTAAGCAAATGTACCGCCTTTTTATCGACAGTATACGGTACAGGCTCTCCAAGATATCTGGATAATGTGAAAGAACTGCCATCCTGATCCTTTTCCCGATTTGTACTTCGATCTTTCTATCATGTATTTATGTTTTCTTTGTATCCCTCTATTATTAAACTGAACTCGTTGCATTTCATGGTAGTATATTCGCTAACTGTTTTGCGTCTAGTGCATAATATGGAATCATTGCACAAAACCACGTCTTAATATGGCCCGTCACAATTCGACGTTTTGTATGTTTGATATTTGCAAGAACGTCGTTTGATTACTTTTTTGGATTTCGGCAAGCAACTGCTTTTACATGAGTCTTCTTTCCATTCACTCCAGTTATTTTCAATTTCTTCACAATAATTAAAAATATATGGTGGTTTGATAACAGGCACGCATTCTTCGCCGTGACATTCTTTCCTAAGTGCGCAATGAGTTCCTGACAATAATTGAATAAATTAAAAACTGAAGTATCTAATTTGAAAGAAAGACATACCAGCCAGCGCTGGTCCCGCGAAGAAATAATTATTCTTGTGAGGCGTTTCGCATTGTAAGACTTGACATATATCATGTAACGTGACTACGTTTGCATCCATGTCACGTAAAAATAGTTCACA